CCTTCCTTTAATAGCAGGGACCATCCTCCTCATTTCCCAAGGCAGAGTAATGAAAACCCATGGTATCCAGCAAGGTTCTTTCAGGAAAGAAACCCCAGTAATCCCTGAGCTTGGTGACCATCACTGTCAGCAGCCTGCAAGAAGCAGGCACAGAACTCCACTGGTTGGATTTGGTTAGGGGAGGGAGGCTGGGGAGTGTCCATGCTGGTATCTCATCTGGTTGGGGATGAGATGAGATTTCTTTCTCATTAGGAGCAGTGGCAGGACAGCAGAGCCTGCCATGTAATTCATGTGATTCCCATCAAGGCATGACTGGCTGATCAGGGAATACAGCCAGAAGCACAAAACACATTGCCCAAAGTCCAGGAGCAAATTCCCAAGACCACTCTTCTCTGGGCTGGGCTGAGAAAACACCAGACAATGTTCTTGCCCTCTTAGCTGAGTTACTTGTCCCCTGTGGTCTTTTCCCTGCCTGCCAGAACCCACCTGGAAGCACCCAAGGAACAGGATGTACCACCCTCCAGCTTTTGTTAGGGGGAGAGGAGGGCTCTGCACGTGTGTGTGCACATCACAGTCCCTGCCCTTGGCTAGGATGGATCCTGAAGGGACACCATGCCACTGCTTGGCAACATTTGTAACTGATGATTATTTAAGACACCTCTGACATCACTGCTGTGTGTGCTGGATAGGTGCTGGATTCTGAGAATGGGCTATGCTTGATTTTCCCCCTTCCCCTAAAATATTAGAGCAGATATGGCTGGAAAAACACCGTGGTGCCATGGCCTCTGGGTGCTTGCCCAGCACCAGGTGCCCTAGGCAGCCAAACCAACCTGTATCACAGCTGCAGTGCCCACACAGCTCTTTTCTCTGGTAGGAGATACTGGAAGAGTTTGCTGTGCTGGTGTAGAGGCACCACTGACACTCCCTAAACCCAGCGCTTATCCTCTGAATCCTTACCTTATGGTCACTAAATATTACATGGTTTTGATGCTAAATATACATTGATTTGTGTGTTCCTTGGTGAAAGAAAGGAAGAAGGTAAGGTGGAAGCTAAGATCAGAGGCAGGTAGCCTTCCATTCATGAGTGAGGAAGGAGCGTTCAGTGACGACATCTTTACATAAGCACCTAGATTTAGATGAGATGGATCCTGCTTGTGACAACCTTGATTAAAACTCAGCATTTGCAGGACACAGTGTTGGAGCTGCCCCTTGATGCCTCAGTCCAAAATAACTCTGCGGTGACTCAGCTGCGTGTGTTGACAAGTGGGGATCTGCTTCCTCAGTCAGACCCAGTGCAAGCCAACAGACTGAGGCTGGGGTATCCCATGCTGGGGTATCCCACGCTGGGGTATCCCATGCTGGGGTATGCCATGTTGGGGTATCCCATGCTGGGGTATCCCATGCTGGGGTATGCCATGTTGGGGTATCCCATGCACACACAGAGAGACGTGGCCAGAGATCAGGACTGCCAGGATGGAGGAGCTGCTGGGAAGGTGACACTGTCTCCAGGCTTGCTGTCCTGAGATCCCATTCCTGCTCCCTGCAGACCTGCCCCAGACCCAGACCCAGCTGTGGTTGCTGCTGCCCCGCAGCTCGTAGAGCACTGAGGGCGTGAGCTCAGCATTGGCACAGTGTGAGCACCTCAGGTGTGCACAGGGAGAGCTGGATGCTGTCTGCAAAAAGACTGCCACAGTGTCACCTTGGAGGCAAGAAAAGCCCAGCAGACGTTTACCCATCTTATTGCCATTAACCTCAGCAGATGTGAATGTGCATCTGTGTGAGCTTTGCCGCAGGTATCCAGCTCTGACCACAGCCTGCAGCCTCAGCTGTGCTCCTTCATCCAAGAAAGCAACCAGTGGAGCCTTTGGCATGGGCAGCACAGTGCTGGGAGAAGTTCCTGTGGTAGCAGAGAGCCTGGGGAAGGGTCCCTGTGCATGCACTGCACGTAGGCTGCTGCCACCAGGCTGTTCCCATGGGACAACTTGGACAAAAGTCCTTTCTCCGTGCGGTGTCTCTGGCATCAACAGTGCTGCTCCCACATGCTGTGGTAGCAAACAAAGGTGCAATATGACTGTGTAGATATTGGCTATCAGCTGGTCTGTATAGACCTCCTGCATTTCCCAGCCTGTGTTCAATGAGCTCCTCTCCCTGTATTTGGGAATTGCCATTTCTTCTGCATTTTGCTTTTAGCAGCATAATAAAGTTGGGCTTCACCTCCCTGAGCCTGATAAACTGAGTGACTCAGAAACCTGCAATCTGCTTCAAAACAAAGCATTTAAGATAAAAGATATAAGCAGCAATGGAGCTACTCAGCTCAGGAGCAGAAATGCTAGAGGGTTACTCATGTGCTCTGAAACCTTCTAACCTTCCTTCAGCTTTTTTTTAACCCTTGCAAACCCTGGGCAAGGCAGGCTGCAAGTTAGAGCTGATGTGTCATTTCAGATACGCTTCCAGTCCAGTGGGCAAGCCCTGGGGCTGGGAAGCAGAAGAGCTCTGATGCCAACACCGATGACGTGGAAGAGGGAGAGCCGAGTTCTCACTCTGCAGCCTCCAAAGTGCTCCTCTTTCTGCTGGTTAAACAGATGCCAGCTTCTGAGGGGATTATGTGTCATGGAGCCTGTTGGCTGCAACAACTAATTATCTCCCACAACAGTTTGGCCTGGAGATTTGCAGTTCAAAGGGCAAATACCCGAGAGTGCTGCCATCCAGTGCCCTGTGTAGCAATTCCTCCCCACTTGGGTTTCCCTGTTCCCAAAGAGGTGGCACCTCCAAGACACCCTGTCCTCTCCTGGCTCAGGCTCACACCAGCAAACCAGCAGGTCCTCCCAGGCAGCGTGGGCAAGGAGCACCAGTGCTCCAGTGAAACCTCAGAGGTACCTCCAGCAGGACCCCAGGAGAACAAGGAGCAGCTCAAATCAGCTCACCATCCAAAGAGCAGCCTGCCTGAGCTTCCCGAGCCTGTAGCTGGGTGTTGGTGTGGCAGCCATGCCATGACATGCTCCTTCAGCTGAACTTCACAGGGTGCACACACCAGCAGAGTCCAGTTCAGCTGCAGCCAAATCCAGGGGAAATAATATCTGCTGCAGCTGGAGATGGGAGGAATTCCAGGGGAGAGCAGCCAGAGGAGTAAAAACAGTTATGGAATGCAGCCTCAAAACCAGCACTGAAAATACTGTATAACTTCATATAAATTGATGGCTGACCCTCATCAAGACTCCCAGGAACAGATGAAAAGCAGACCCAGGCAACTGAAAGAATTTAAGTCCTTGAGAAACACACTGAGAGTAGTGGAAAAGGCTGGAGGTGAGGGAAGAGATGAAGAGGGAAGTTAAAAGAAAAGGCAGAGGATGTGTTGACAAGCAGGTATCCACTTTTTAGCATCACCTTGAAGTGTTTCAATGGTGAGGACAGAGGAGAGCCTGTATCTCCAACACCAGCACTGCAGGGCTGCCTCGGTCTGCGGGGCCATGGGAAGAGGGACAGCTGTCCCTTAAACAACAGGAGGTGACACCAGTGGTGAATAGATGAGTGATCGTGGCTTCAGCCCTCACAGCAGAGGATCTGACTTCAAATGAAGCCCCATTCACCCACCCTGGGCCCATCATAAGGTTGTTAAAGGGAGCATCTGTCACAAAACCACAATGCCTTTAAATGCTCGGAAAAGGGCACAGCAAAAATAAGCCTGCTTAGCTTATATACTTTTCTCTGGGCGATGTGGTTCTTAGAACTCCTTAGCAAAAATAAATTACAAATAAGATGGTGGGGAAAATACATGGTGTGAGCAGGGTGAGGTTTGGTTTTGACCTTAGCAGAGAGTTTGGCTGTGTGTTTGTTGTTCCAGCCTAGTGGAGTAGGTGTGAAACACAGTGGCAGGGAGTTTTCTTGGGTAGCAGAGTGCACAGCCCCAGCACACCAGGTTCTGCTCTGGAGCCCTGGCTCAGAGCACTCCCTCCAGGACACAAATGGAAAGCCATTCCCTGGTTTTGGGTGCAGCAGGGAAAGCACCTCCAGCAGCAGGACAGGGCCAAGTCTGTGTGAGAAAGACTTCACTGTGTGATGCAGCTCTGTATTTATAATTCATATTAAATTGTAATCCAAATTCCTCTTTTCTTTATAAATTGTTTTGAAAAATTGTCTTGCATGTGGATGGGAAAATGAATTGTGGTCATATGTGTGAGTCTCTTGGGTTCCTCTACAGAAATATTTCATGCCCAAAGACAGGACTTCCACCCCAAGTTTTAGCCTGGGGGGCATTGCCTGTGTCCATAGATTTTAAGCCTAGAGCAGAATAAAGTTACATGTTTTAAAACTGTCCAAGTGTTTTATAAAGCTAAATCTCCCCTGTACCCCCCAAAGCCCCAGTTTGTACTCTCAGATTATCACCATCTAAGTGAGGCCCTGGATTCTGTCCAAGTGCTGCATCTCCCAGCCCTGAGCTGGATTTCAGACTGAAGTGGTGACTCACTTGGGCAGCTTCACCTCCCTTCACTTGAGCTGCCTGAAAGCAAAGCATCCCACTGAGCATGGCATCTCCCTCCCTCCCAGCACAGACAGAGCCATCTCCCCCAGGGGACTCGACCTGTATGTTCTGGGAGCAAGACCTGTGTGCTCCAACCTCTTATCTGAATAAACCCTTGCAGGAAAGCGGGTGTGTGTACAGAATCCAGCACAATGGACCAACTGGGACCTTTGTCCCTCAGGGAATAAAAATAGCAAGTAATATTAAAACTGTGTATTTTCACAGATTGTGATCAGGACTCACAACACACCACACTTAATTTCCTGCTTTCAGTTCACTATCAGATTTTGTGTTTAGGTTAGTGGGGTTTGTTTTTCCCCAGAATAGGATTTTTTTCCCTGTAACTACAATATATTCAGCCATGAAAAATGAGATTGAAGAAGATTAATAGGAAGCTGAAGGATTCATCTGAGATTGACAAAAGATTAATGTATGCCTTATTCTTATCTGTTTTCTTTTTCCCTTCCTCTTTTTCTCTTAGCTACCTAGACAGCTTAGATCGAATCGGAGCTGCAGACTACCAGCCCACGGAGCAGGACATCCTCCGAACCAGGGTCAAAACCACTGGCATCGTAGAAACCCATTTCACATTCAAAAACCTCCACTTCAGGTTAGTCCAAAACTGCACAGTAAATTTTCAGAACTATTTATCCCAGGGTTTCCCCGTAGTACCTAAAGGAGGAGTTGTTAAGTTGCTGGTCAGTGCATGGACATCTCCCACTGCAGAGGACATGGAGTTTTGGGGGGTCAACAATATGAAATGTTTGGTCTCGAAAGTCACTGCCTGTAAGATAGAAGCTCATGGCAGCCTCTTCTAAGCCAAACAACACTTCCTTGTTGAAAAGTATAATGCGAGATTGACCCCCAAGCCCGATCAAGCTTCATAAATGTAAAAATATTTGGCCAAATCTTTCTCTGAAGTGGCTCAGTCCCGGGTAGTTACTGCTCTACATTGACCCACAAGATCCCAGCCAGTAGAGAGAAAGGGGCATGAAGACAGAAGGCCATGCACAGACAGTGTTTAGAGCATATAAAACTCAAGAGCAGAAGGTCTCCACCTCCACAGACCCTTTGGGACCCAGCAGGTTGCTGAGGCTATCCCAAAAATCCCCACATCCTGCTCTGTAACTGCTCCTCCCGGTCCTCCCTGGCTCCAGGCACTGGAGGAACAGACCAAGCTGGTGGTGAAAGACCCATGGCCTTGCCTTTGGAGCCTGGCAGGGCCCCTGTGGTCAGAAAACACCAAGAATGCTAAAGTCTGCTGGTAACTGGGAGTGAGCAGGTGCTGATGACCCTCTCCTGTGCCGCAGGCTCTTCGACGTGGGGGGCCAGCGGTCGGAACGCAAGAAGTGGATTCACTGCTTCGAGGATGTCACAGCCATCATCTTCTGCGTCGCGCTGAGCGGCTACGACCAGGTGCTCCACGAAGATGAAACCACGGTGAGTCTATCGGGGTCCTGCAGGCCCCAGCACCTCTTGTGGGACACTGCATAGCCAGCAACTCCTTGGAGATCACCGAATGCTCCCTGGGGGGCTACAGTCATGGGCTCTTGTCCGTCACTGCCCCTTGGCTCTGAAACCCTGGGGAGGTTTGTCCTCCTCCACACTCTTTGAGATGAAGTCTGCGTGCCCAGGTAACGTTTCCTTGCACCGGTGAGGTCACAGTGTTTTATTTCTGCTCTCCAGCCGACCTGTGTGTTTTCAAAATGCATCCCAGGGACCTGTCTCAGCAGGAGGAGGTGCAGCACAGTGGGCTTTGAGGAGATGTCAGGGAAGCAGTCAGGCTGTGATGCAGAGGTGCAGGGTGGCCATGCACACCCACGGTTTAGCCTGGGAGTATAACCTGTTTCTTCAGGCTGCAGAGACTCATTTTCCTTAGTGAGAATGGAACTGTTTGATTCCTCAGGTAATTTGCTCTAGGAGAGATTTTATGACTTCCCACTGTGACATTAGACTCAAAATACCATCTGGAAATAGAGCTGGCGAGGACCTGTGTGCTCCCTGGCATTAGAGTGCAATTAATACAGGTGAATGGAATGCACAGAGAGGATGCAGCAGGACTCATGCCTGCATTCTGGCCATTCGTTCAGTGGAATGGGGTGCGTGTTTCTGTGAGCAATGACGACTGCTGTGGGCACCCAGTTGCATTTGTCTAATGAAAAGGGATTGGAGGCCATACTCAGGCTGAGTGATGATTTCAGTGGTGCCCAGTCTGCAGCATGGAGGGCTCACTCCTGCCAGCTCTGTGTCTCTGAGGGGTTTTGTTCTGCTGGTAAAGATGTCAGGCTTACAGAAAGCTGTGGATGAGGAAGGAATCTGGGGAAAGATTGCTGTTGGGTAACAGTTGTCTTGTCCCCAGAAGACTACAGGTACTGTGGTTTCCAGTCTCTGAACCAGGTTTATGAGCAAACTGTTTGATGAAGTCACCTGGTTGTTTGGATGGTACTGATGCTAAAATTCAGGGTGATGTTACCAGCATCAGTCATGGTTCCCAAGGGAATGGCATGAAGCTGTGTCAAGGAGAGGTTTAGGCTGGAAATTAGGAAAAGGGTCTTCACTGAGAGTGTGATTGGGCAGTGGAACAGGCTCCCCAGGGAAATGATCACAGCACCAAGCCTGCCAGAGTGCAGGAAGTGTTTGGACAATGCTCTCAAGCACATGGTGTGATTCTTGGGGTTGTCCTGTGCAGGGCCAAGAGCTGGACTCAATGATCCTTGTGGGTCTCTTCCAACTCAAGATATTTTATGATTCTATGATTCTGTGATCATGTCTGCATCCCTCCAGACTGAGACACCCTACATCCTCCCATGTCCACTTATTTATACCTTCCAGTTGTCACCTCCCTCTGACTCTGGCCCTGATATACTTAAGGATGATCAGCCCTGTAGCATTGACTGGGAATGAACCAAAATCTTCTGATGTGATTTGAAAAATCCAGCCATTATCTCAGTGTCATAGAGCTCTGCAGCCGGGCAGTGAAAACAGCCAGGAGATACAGAACACACAGGGAGAGGGCAGGTCCATGTGACAGGGAGCAAAGCTGTTATCTGAGCAGAGAGCAAGGTGCTCTGTAGGTATAACTTGGACTGTGACACCCAAACAGGGAAGCCAAAGGCAGCTTTTAGTACAGGTCACCTTTGGGTGCTCATCTACACAAACCAGAGGCTGTGATTCAAAGCCACAGAGCACAAAATAGAAGGGAAGCCTGAATGCCAATGCCATTTTTTAAATGTCAGGCTTAACTCTGCTCCTCTGAACTGGAGGTTAGAGCATCTCTCCTGGGGAGAGCACTGCCAGTGACTTCCCCTCACCCCCACCCTGGAGACAAGCAGGGTGCCAGCTCAGCCTCCCTCCTGAAGTGCCCTGCTGCAGAAACTGGGATTTATGCATCTCCAACTTCCCTTTTGCAGCAGGAGAGCAGGCTGGTGCAGCTCTGGCACAGCGCTGACATTTGCCTGCTATTTCAGTCCCTTCTCACAACACTTTTCGGGGGATGCTGAGCAACAGGAGGGCAGAGGCAGCCGCTGCTCATTTACACATTCCGTGTAAATGGGGAAGGATTTGGCTTTGGCAGCGCTGGCAGGACGGCCCTGCCTACCCCGGATAAACAACCCTGGGCGAGGCCAATGCAAATGGAAAAAACACTGGTGTTGGAGATTACCTGCCCTGTTACATCCCCTTCACAAATGGCAGGTGGGAAACGTGGCACCCCAGATCCTGAGCCCTCCCAGCCGAACCCCCAAGCACTCGGTCTCCTCCCTGCTCGTGGTGCCTCTCCCAGGGCCCAGCAGTAAAGCAGCATCTCCTCACCCAGCTGACTTGGTGCCTCTCCCAGGGCCCAGCAGTAAAGCAGCATCTCCTCACCCAGCTGACTTTGCCGTCTGCATCCGTCCCATCTGCCGGCTCCAGTGACGTCAGTCAGCTTTTATTGCTTCTCACTTGGAAAACACAAAGAGGAGGCAGCTGAGAAAGTGAGCTGGAAGCTGCTCCTCCAGCTTCATTTCCTAGGGATGCTTAACTCCAGTGCAGGCCCTTCCAGCTGTCCCGAGCTGCTGCAGGGCTGGGGGCTGTACAGGTGTCTCTGTGAGTATGGAAAGACTGCAAAGAGCTTTCATTGCTGGCGGGGAGCCATGAGAGGGAAAAAGCCCTACTGCATCTCAGCACCCAAAAAAAACCCCTTCCAAAGTTGGGTGCAAAGGGAGAATGGCTTTTCCTCCAGTGCTCAGCACCCAGATGTCAATGATCACAGGATTTCACAGGTGCTTTTTGCACTTCTCTAAGTCAAACCACATTTTGGCTGGAGAAAACTGCAGTTCAGATGCAGTCAGCCTAACACAGAGAAGGCAGGGGCTGGTCTTGCTAAGCCTCAGCTGGGACGAGTGCAGGGTCAGCTTGTTTCACTGAAAAACACTCACAAACAACAGGTTTACTGTGAATCCTTCCCGAAGAGCTGTTTAAACAAGGCTGGGTGAAACACCCCCTGACCTGTCCCTGCCCTTACAATTCAAAACCAGCACTGTGCTTGTAAAGGTTTTTTGTGGTTTACTGTGCTCTTTGTTTTAAAAGACTGAGCACCCATCCTCCTGCAGCAGCTAAAACAGGGCTGTTGTGTGTGAAGCCATCCCTAAGAGATGTATATTCTCTCCACTGCCACAAAGAGCTGTACAGCAGGAGTCAAGGAAAGCAAATACTTCCCTATGTCCAGATCAGAAAGACATAAAGAAAACTTTCTGCATCTGTGATTTTTAGGCCCATATACCCATGAAGATCACGCTTTGCCTTTACCAAGTCCATGACAAGGAGCTGCCAGGATCTCTGCCATATTTGTACACACTGGGAATGTCCTGGTTTTAGCTGACAGAACATCTTCATGGATTATGTCTTTGCATAACAAGGCTATTTTGTCTCATTTCTGAATTATCTTTATGTTTCATAAGTTGAGGTTACAGGAGGAAAAGCCTCATGCCTGTAATCCGGGAGGAGAGAGGGACAGCAGTCATATCACTTAGTAAAACTGGAGAAAACAATTAACAAGGGTAGATTTCTATTGTTCTTTTTAAGTGGAATTCCTAATGGAACTTTAAAGAAAGACAGAAATGGCATGGAACCTGTCATGGGAACTGAGACTACCCTCTGTTTTTTTCCTTGCAAATTCAAAGGAGTTGTGGCAAGAGAGGGAGATGTTCATGCTGTACATTGCTGCCTTTGAAACTAAGATGTGTAGGTCAACCATACCTAGCCAAGACATGCAAGTATTGCTCATGTCCCCATTGCTGAGGATGGGATGGGCTGAAGGGCTGTGCTGGTGACCCTTGGTGTGCATTAGTGTTGGCCTGTTGGTTTGGATTGCATTGCATGACCTGGTTAGTGTGCTCTCTCTGCTGTCACTGGGCAAGGAAAATGGAACTGCAGTGCTCAGAAATTGCCTTAGGAGTGACAAAGCAAGAGAAAGTGGCTTGGAAATATAAGCAGAAGGGGGAATATGGAGTTTCTGTGCTTCAGATAACCTCACAGCTCGCATGACAGCCAGCACTTAATGGCCAAGGGAAACAGAAAAGATTGAATCAACTGTGTGTTGCAGAGATCACCAGCTCTCCTGCTGTGCTCCAGTGAAAAAAAGATGGTTTTTATGGGTGTGTTTCTGCCTGGGCAGAGTCTTGACCACAGCATCCTTTCTCCCTGGTGCTCAGTGGAAAGGTGTCTGCCCTTGGCATCGGTGACGGGAACATGGTTGTGCAGTGACATCTGAACTCAGCTGTCAGCAATTCTCTTTCTTATCCTGTGCAGGAAAAGTTAACTGGACCTGGAATGTGTGTGAGCAAGTGGTTACTCCTCTGTAACGTGGCTGGTGGGGCTGCTTTGCTTGTTGGGGTATAAAGTATTTGCAGGCGTAAGGATTTAAAATAGCAGCTTTGGAACAGGGAGTGACATTTAGATGTCAGTGTTTGAGGAGCCCTTCCCTCGATGACAGACCCAACACGAAGTGAGAAAAAGCAGCACGATGGATCCAAAAGCAGGTGAAGTGATTTATATCACTTCATCTAAAAATATGAGGAGTGTAACCTCCAGTGGCTCCCACCAGAGCAGGCACGACTGCCCCATCACAGCAGCACAGGTGCTCCTGAGAGGGCCCAAGGCAGGCTCTAAGGGAATAAAAGGGCCTTCCACTGTGGATTTACTGGGAGGAGGGGGATTATTTGAAGGCTTTAACTTCTCACTAACCCTTTAGCAGCAGCTTGTCCTTTACATTTGGTCCCCAGACCCTGCCTCCCCATCCTCACCTCTCAGCCTGGGTCTGCCATAGCTGTTAGAGGGCTGCTGCAAACATCTGGTGAACTAGTAGCAGTTGGAAGGGAAAGGAAAGGGAGACAGTGAGACATTCCCAATGTTAGCCAGCACCTGGACAGCTTGAATCCATGTGTGGGCTCCCAGAAGCCTTCCCAGGATGCGACATGTCCCACGTGCTCTGCACCTTCACCACACACAGAAAGCAACTCCTGGCTTTTGAATAATGTCTCCTCTTTAGTGGTGGGGAAGGAAAAGGTGGATTTAAGACCAAAACACTGCCCATGTAAATAAGAATGAGTGGGCAGAACAGTTGGTTGTGTTTACTCAGCTAACCAGCAGAGCTGAGGGAAAAATCAACATGTAGAGATCAGAAAGCCAGGTCAGGCAGCCTTGGGAAGCTTTAAAACTTGTTTCTGGAATCTGAAAGGAATGGAGGACATCAGTATAACTGTGGTGCTCTGCAGGGCTGGGTTGGTCTGTGCTGTGTGTGTGTGATTCTGTGACTCTCTATTCTGGTTACAGCTGAACACTGAGTCTCTGTTTGTTGGGAAAACACTCCCATTTCCTAACATGTATTAACACAAATTAATCAAACTCCATTAGAGAAGTAGAAGGATTTCTGTAGGGTGGTGAGAGCTGTGTAGGGTGGCACAAGGCTGTGCAGGGTTTCAGGGGCCTGTGTAGGGTGGCACAGGGCTGTGTAGGGTGGCACAGGGATGTGTAGGGTGGCACAGGGATGTGTAGGGTGGCACAGGGCTGTGTAGGGTGTCAGGGGGCTGTGTAGGGTGACACGGGGCACATGTTTCTCCATACCTGTATTTTGAATCAGCAAGGATGATAAAAATGTCATTTAGAATGTTCTGTGGGGGACTCTGCTTTAAAAAATGGTTAATTATATTTGCTTTCTGTTCCCCTGACCACCCTCCACTTCATCCTCTCCTCCAAAAGGCTTTGGGTAGCCAAGGATCTCCCCTACAAAACCTTTGTACGCCAGGTTTCTACACAGTTACACTTTTGGCACCACGAGTAGCAAAGAGGAGCGTTGCTCCAGGGCTCCCACACCACCAGTACCACATGGGTTAGCAAAAATCAGCCCAGGGGCACGGGGTGATCCAGAGGAGCCACAAAGGGTAAATGCACTGTTACACTCCTACACCAAAGGGTAAATGTGTTGTTACAGTCGTACAGCTGAGCCCCAAAGGGTGAATGTGTTGTTACAGTCGTACAGCTGAGCCCCAAAGGGTAAATGTGTTGTTATACTCATACAGCTGAGCCCCAAAGGGTGAATGTGTTGTTATACTCATACAGCTGAGCCCCAAAGGGTGAATGTGTTGTTACACTCACACACCATCGCGCCGTCCGGTGTGTGGGTACAACGGGGAAATGCTCAGTCACTCAGCACAGGGGACAGCAAATCTCACATGTCCTGTCTCACTCTGGGTTGGATCAGATGTTTCCTTCGTCCACGGAGCCACTTTTATCTGTATAAAGCGTTCAGCACAGCTGAAGCACGTGAAATGAAAAAGAGGGTGTTACTCAGTGAAGTGCTGGGCTCGACTGCTGCCAGTGCGGGTGTGAAATGCAGTGGGAGGGGGTAAAGGCCCCCAGCTGACTCCTGTACGACTCCAAATGCCCAAATCCAGAGATGGGTGGGCAGGACGTGCTGCACCCACTCCAAAAACCCCTCTGGTCAGAAGCCCGTGCAGGGCTGTTCTCTCCGGTGTCTCGGTGGCTGTCACCGGTTTCTTGCGCGCACTGGCGGGTCTGGGGAGCGCTGTCCCGAGGAGATCCTGCTGGGAAAAGCCGAGGAGCCGGTCTGGTCTGTGCCATGCTTTGCCTTTGATAACCCCCTGACTCTCGGGTGTGCTTCGTCCTCACCGCGCCTGCTCTGCTCCCGGCTCCCGGCTCAGCGACGGCCCCGCGACCGGCGGGCGCTCCGGCGTCGGCTCGGCCGGACATCGCCAGCCTCGGCACCTCCACAGCTTTGCCTCGGCCAACCGACCTTATCTAGCCAAACAAAGGCCAAAAAATGGGCATTTGAGAGACCAACCAAATTTGGCAGGTATGAAAGCTTCTCTTGAACTGAGAAAAAAAAAAAAAAAAAGCAAAAGCGAGTTGAGAGTTGAAAGCAGCAGGAGGGAACATGACACTTGGTTGACTTTGCCGTGAGCTCTTTCCACCACCATAGAACCATGTGGCGGACTTTGCAACTCTCTAACTGGTCTGGTTTTTCCGTTCCTCTTATCTCTCTGCTTCTCTGTGTCCTTTTTTGCATGACCTATAACCAAAAAGCTGACTTCTCGCTGTGTGTGCATTTGGAACTTATGGCTCTTCTGCTGGCCAGTAGCTAATCTTCTTCTAGAGGCATGAGCTAACACCACTGGTAGCTGCCTGAGGTCTGGTCTGGTTGTTCTTAGATGCTCTTTGTTACATTTTTCCTTTTTATACTGTTTCCTCTTCCTTTTTCACTTTTTTTCCTCTCTGCAAGACACTTTCTGCTGAGCCATCTTCCAAGAGAACTCCAAAAAAAAAACCCTTCAAAAATTAAAAGCCCGACAACAGACAACACTAAACAAAGTAACAAAACCAGGCAAAGGTCACGGCAAGGTCATTTCCAAAATTATGTTACCTCGATGTCTGCTTCCAACTCTAGATTAATTCAAGGATCGACCAGTCCTTGGTTAATGTATCCAACCAGTTGTGTGCGGCACACATTCGAGAAAGTGGGGAAAAAAAAATTAAACATTATTGAAAACATGTTAGAAAATCTGCATGAGCTACACCGACACAAAAATCTGATCAAAGGGCAAAAATAACTCTCCATCCATGCATGGTGCATGATGATTTCTATGAGCTGGGATCCTGTAAATTAATGTCATGCAAAATCAAAACAGCTCTGTATTGTTAAATGCCCTTAAGTTACTAACTGTGTCAAATGTTATAGGGATTGCATCTGTGTATGTATATGTTCAGCTGTTATGTATACATAAATTGATTATGTATATGGTAGCTTTTCTTTTTTGTTGTTTTCCTCTTTAATTTAGTTGTTTTAGATTTCCCTACATGTTGAACGCCCCTGGGGTCCCTGCCTTTGGCCTGATGTGATCTCTCCTTTCTGTTGCAGAACCGCATGCACGAATCTCTGAAGCTTTTTGACAGCATCTGCAACAACAAATGGTTCACAGACACATCTATCATCCTCTTTCTAAACAAGAAGGACATATTTGAGGAGAAAATTAAGAAATCTCCACTGGCTATCTGCTTTCCTGAGTACACAGGTAATGAGAAAGGTGGCTGCACAGGAGTGCCTGGCAAAGGGAGCACACAGTGCTGCCCAGCAGGGCTGGTGCTGTCCTGTAGTGCAGGCAACGAGGCTGAAGGTGCAGAGCTCCCATGGGCTTCACTTTTATTGCAGGAAGTGCCACAGGAACATCTTCACCATCTTTAGTGGTCCACTTAGAGCAGGAGGATGACTTAAACCAAGTTCCTTGCTGGCAAAGGGCCACCCCCCCTGAGCAGTGTTTGATCCCTGCCTCACAGGTGGTTCTGATGCTGAGCCAGCACATGCAGCTGTGGGGCTGCAGTGCTGTCCCCAAACCCATGTGGCCTGGTTCTCTGTGTCACACAGGAGCAGGAACCTTCTTGCAGGTCTCTGAGAAAGGTGCAGTGAGCTGAACCATTACACACAGGGGACTGGTCTCTGGGAGACCAACACACAGGCTTTGTTAGGCTGTCCTCAGCTGGAGTCCAGTTTTGCTCTTTCAAACCCCCCCACGTTCCCTTGTGGGTCCTGGCTGGCCACAACAAGAATCCCTCAGCAGTTCCTGGCCACCACTGCCCCACTGCCAGGCACCTCGGGGCTGCAGAATCATCATCGCCCTGGCAACATTTATGGCCAGGCTGGAGGGGTCTCTGAGCAACCTGATCTGGCTGGAGATGTCCCTGCTCACTGCAGGGCAGCTGGACTAGATGACCTTTAAAGGTCCCTTCTAACCCAACCCATTCTGTGTTCCATAATCAGCCCTCCAGTGTGCAGGCAGCAGGTCTCACAGCTTGGCTGCTTCAGCTCGAGCCATACATTTTTCATCACATTAGTTGAGGAGGTCCCCAGTTTCACTCTCAGGTTGACTGAAATCAAGCACAGACACAGGAGCACTTCCAGCTAAACGCAGGTAGAAAACAAAGTGTTTGATTTTCTATTCTACTGGCCACCCACAGCCCTTCACCCACAGAGCAGGCAGAGGAAGGCCACAAGAGCCCTGCCCCGAGCTTGGCTGGGGAGAAGGAGCCTCAGTGAAAGGTGGAGGTGAGAGCTCCTTGCAGAGCCCCCACTTCTGCTGCCTGCCTGGCATCTGACCACCCATGCAAAGACTGCAGTTGCACCTGCTGCTTCCCTCTGCACCTCACCAGCTTTCACAACCCCTCATTACCATTCCGAGATGGCATCAAAATCAACTTTTATCATCATGAATTATTTAAGCTCACCAGAGACATCCCGATGAATCAACCCGACAGACAGAGCAGCAGATCTCTCTTTGTCAGGAAACGTGGTTGTGAACCAGGAGCACTAAGGGTGTCACATTTCTGGGCAGGCCAACAAATTATTAACCACAGCTTCTTATCTCTGAACACTTGATTTTTCGCTGTGAACAGACAACGGCTGTCCCTCACTGCTGCTTTGGGCTGAATAGTCTGTGGCCACGGAGCAGAACGACTCCAGCTGAATTCAGAAGAACATCTGCAGGCTTCCTCTCTGGGGAAGGCTTGGGTGTTTGTCACCACCAACACATTTCAGCCATCTACTCATCTGCTTGGTCCAGACAGAACCAACATATTCCCGACACGTTTGTCTGAAAAGATCTAATCATGGAAATTTCAGTCTTTACAGCTGAAAGCTCATAATAATGCCTACCCCAAATCTGCCTGGTTGCAAATTAGATTGCTGCTTCTGGATGGCTTGTAGAGCAGCTCATCACTGTCTTCTTTATAGCAGCACTTCTATATACGGGATGGTTTCTATCATGCCCTCTTCTTTTTCCCTTTTCTCAGTGAAGCAAACCTGCACCTCTCACTCCTTCCTGCTCGTACTTTGTGCACCTGGCTTTGTGGATCTTCACTGAAGTCTCCCAGAAACCCTACCCTGAAATAACATTCTTACAGACCCCCAATGGCAGGGAGACTAGAAGGAGAAGGAATGTCATTTTAGATACAACTGTTCCTTCCCAAGCAATCCCAGCCCAAGAGAGGAGTTCACTGGGGGAGGCAGACCCTCTGACACACATGAAAACAAATACAGCTTCTTTCCGGAGTGCTTCAGCCCCAGGTGAACCAAACCAGTCTTCCCCAGATTTCAGAGGACCCCAGAGATGCTCTAAATTCCTTCAAGGTGCTGTTCTGGAAGCTGGGAGTTCTCGTAATGCCAGGGACCCTCCACAGACCTCCTGGTGCCATGAGACCTCCTCGTCTCTCTTGTGCCATCAGAGAGGGCTGAAAGTCTGATGGCTGAAAGTCCTTTTACTGGTCCAAAAAGCATGTGAGTCAGAGGTGAGGAATATCCCCCCCCAGGCACTCAGCAGTGCCATTACAAGTTAGCTCATGCTAACATCCAGCCCGGACTTTAGACCCAAGCACACACCTCAGGCTGCCCCCCCTGCTCTGCTGACCACAGCTCAGGGGATGGAGCCCTCGTGGTCATGTGGAAAAGCAGCATTATTAGAATGTTGCCCTGGAGTTAAAATGGAATTATTTGATGAAAGCCTATAAATTGAACAAGCGGACTTTCAACATCACAAGTAGGTTCCACGAAGTGCTTTTAATGAAATGAAGTTTCTGATGTCCATTAGTTCTGCTGACAGGGAATTACTGGAGGACTGCATCCACAAATGTGCTGGCTGTTTGCTGTAGCACTGACTGTTTCCATCCCCTTAATTCTCCCATGCTCTTAACTAATCCACAATACTTAGCAAAGCAGCGTGGCGTGTTTTAAACCAGCCTGGCATTAGTGATTCCTTGCTCTCCTAGACAGAATACAGCATCTAAATCCTCATGCCTTTGAACAACCAAGTTCCCGTTCATAAAATGCCCTCCTATTTGTGCACAGCATGTGGAACTGTTCACAGATTCTTTACACATCTACTCATGCAAGAGCCTGCTCCCAGAAAACACTTTGCTTCTCTTACTTCAAGCATATTCTCAAGTCTCATGGTCTTCATGTGCTTGTGTCTTCAACAGCAATGTGTGTGTGTGCAAGGGTGATCTCCCAGGTCAGCTGCCTTCCACCACAGTACATCTCAAGCCCCAGTGAGCTTCCCTCTAGCAGATAACAGCATTTCCCATCAGTACAGCATCACGGAGGGAGAGGGGCCCAAAAGCAGGAGCAGTGTTACTGCTGTGGAGCCTTTTGGGGGTCAGGCACCAGGCAGTGCCCAGCAGTGCTGCGGGGCTGCACTCCAGGCCAGCCAGAGAAACCCCCTTCATCAGCCCTGAGCAGGTGCCCAGGTGGAGCTCTGTGTGTGAGCAGGATCAGGGCTGGCCAGAGCACAAACGATCTGCTCATTTGCATGGCTCCTCCCAGGCTTTTTTTAACACAAAACCTGATGTTTAATAAGGTGTGGCACAGACATCTCTATCCATCAAAACAAGAAACCTCTCCTGGTGTGATTTTAGCCATGGTTCTGGAGGAGAGTATTGTGATCCTAATTCCTCAAAAAGAGGGACATTTTGTATTAGGCTTTTGGGTTTTTCTTTTGAGAAAACCCCACTTTGTTCTGCAACAGAGGCTGGATCTTTTCATGTCCTTTTCTCTTAGTGATTCAGGGAAAGGAGAGCACAGCTACCAATACTGTCCTCAATTCATGGAACATGTTAGCTCTTCTTTTCCACCAAAAACTGAAACTTTAATAAAAAAAAAATCTAAAAAAGGAAAAAAGCAAAGCCTCTTCCCCAGGTCAAGCACTTAACCACATTCCTGGCAGATTTCTTCTCTTTTTTGTCACCACGATGTGGAATTTGTTCTGGTTTTCCCATCATAGCCTGTTTAACACTCAGCTCCATAGACTATAAACAGCAACTCAGAATAAAAATACAGCTGAGCTGACAGTCAGGGAGCATCTCCTGGCTGGCAGCAGTCCTGGCTGGCGACAGTGCCCATCCCCAAGATGGAGATGGGGTGGCTGCACTGCAGTGGCCCTGCAGGAGCTCCCCATGTCCCCACAGGAGGGTGTTTGCAGGTACCCCACAGGTCCAGGCTCACAGGACAGCTTTAACCCGCTCCTTGTGCTCTCCCCCGGCTCTCCTGCAGGCCCCAACGCGTTCACGGAGGCGGTGGCGTACATCCAGAGCCAGTACGAGAGCAAGAACAAGTCCCCCAACAAGGAGATCTACACCCACATCACCTGTGCCACCGACACCAACAACATCCAGTTCGTCTTCGACGCCGTCACAGACGTCATCATCGCCAACAACCTGCGGGGCTGTGGACTCTACTGACACTCTACTGAGCTCTCTGCTCCCCTCCTGCCCCTCCAGGCCCGCGGACAGGTCCTCTCTTTCCTTGTTTTTTTTCCTCCTCAGAAGATGATGAGGAAGAAATCCATAAAATTCCCCCCCTCCCCATCCCAGAAAACTTTGCAGCGAGTTCTGCTTTTCCCCAGCCCCGTTTTGTTTTATTTTGGTTCATTTTTGGTTCATTCCCTTGCTGCCTCGTTCCACTCCTCCGTTGCAGTTCACAGTGCTGTGCAGGGAGCTAACGCGTTTCCCACAGAGTGCATTTCAACTGCCAAAAGACAAAAATACTTCAGTTTTAAAAAGAGGGAAAAAAAATCAAAGCCTTAAAATACTGGTCAGGAACAGCGTAGTTTGGAACCAAAACTTTTTTTTTTTGCCTTGAGATGAAGGGATATTGTTTATTCTCCTGGTTGTCTTTTCTGCTAAAACACTACTCCTTTGGGAAGTGCTAGATACAACCTGATCATTTTGAGGGTACCTTATGGCTCCAGTTCTGACCCCAAAGCCAGAGGGGTCAGGGTTGAATGCAGCTGCCATAGCTTGGATTTGTATATTCTCCTTTTTTCCAGACAGCTATTTGAACAAGTAAAACAGCCATATCGAGTTCTGCTGGTGCCTGAGTAACGGGGACACAGTAACAAAGCCTACTAAGCCTTGTCTAAAAACATTCATTACTGGTAGCAGTTTTACCTCAAGTTTTTCAAGATTAATATTAAAATATATCTAGAGGTTGCAGTAACCCATTTCTGAGGCACTTTGCTGGAGGCCACAGAGCCACTGGGCTGGGCCCCCTGGAGTGTTGGCAGAGAGGACCCCACGCTCGGGGGCATCCAGGGAAGCTGGCCTGGGTACCTGGTGGCCTTTCCCAAAGCCCCTCCCAGCCTAAGGGACTGATTTCAGCACAAGCAGTGCTCCTGCAAACAGCATCTCTTTCCAGACTTCAGCCCTGAAGTGCTGGAATGCACCAAAAATATTTAGTCTTGGTTTCTTGTAGGCAGAGTTTGACCTTCAAGTACCTGAGATGTGAGGAGGTGCTTTGGGAAATGTCCCCATGGCAGGTGGCAGGAAGGTGTGCGGGAGCCTCGTGGCTCTTCATCACCCCTCAGGCATCTGAACAGCCTTGAGAAGCCCAGCCCTGTGCTCTGAGCCTCCTTGGCTCCTGTGTCATCCAGAGAGCATCCAGAGACAGCTCCACACTTGGTGTCTCCACTCAGGCGTCTCTTTACCAGTGTCTGATGTGAGCAGGGTGTTTTATACTGGCCATGCAGTGGCAAATGAGAGCTCAGGGAGCTGATTTGAGCCAAGTGATGCAGTAGAAAGGAAAAGTGCAAGGAAAGGAGGAAGGAAGGGCAGGGGGAGGAAAGGACAAGGGTAGTGCCCAGCACAGCAAAAGCAGGGGCTGAGAGGGGAAAAGAAATGCAGGTGGGCTGAGTTACACTCTCTTGCCATCACCAAGGGGTCTGGATGCCCTTAGGTCAAAGATGGAGAGGTGGGGGGTCACCTCCGGGGGCATGGAGGGACCCTGAGAAATCCACCCCAAAAGCTTGTTTGGTGTCGGGGTGAGACAACCACCTCTGAGGTCCCACTCAGGGCCCACCTCACCTGGGGGCAGGTGGGCAATGCTGATCCCTGCCTCTTCTCTGCCTCTCTTAAGATCCATAATCTTGGAAAACGGGAGTTCTTTCCAGGCTGGCCACAAGTTCAACAGTCCTCTCTTGGCAGCCTGATCTAGGGGTGGCTTTCAGGTCTCAGGAGGTCTGAGTTTTCTCCAGGGCCACTCCTGAGAGGGACAGCATCTCTTCTCTTGCTGTGCCCATTGAGGAGAGACGGTGTGAGAGCAGCCCAGAGCAGCCCAGCCCAAAGAGAAGGGGCCGGGGAGCATCAGTGTGCAGGAGGCAGGGACAGCAGCAGGTATGGTGGCACAGGATGGAGAGGACCAGTGGGAGAGGTTTGGGAACAGTTTGGGAGCAAAGTTGCAGAAGGGAGATGAGAGAGACGGAGGCACCAGGGAGGGAGGGAAGAGAAGGGCACCTGAGAGCCAGAGGAGAGTCCCCATCAGAGCCTGTGCTCTGCCAGGACAGTGCTCGTGGAACATCCGTGACAAACCCAGCCAGGAACGTGAGCAGGAGCACCCCAGAGCCAGCAGGGAGGGCCTGCAGGGGCAAGCAAGGTGGCTGTCACCCCTCCAACCAGCTCCCAGCCCAGCACGGCTGGTAACTGCCAGTAACCCCCTAAATGATAAAACTGCATTTAGGATTGCACAGCAAGGACCTGCTGCTGCTCTGCTGGGCACTGACAGCAATAACTCCAGGTCTCTGCCTCCCCTGCTCTGGCACAAGCCAGTACCCACCTTTCTCTTCACCATCCCAGAATGCCTCCAGTGACATCAGCCCCTGCAGGGAGCTGGCCAGCCAGCAAAGCCAGCAGCCTTCTCTGCTCCTCAAGCCCACCCACACACTTTGTTTTCCCAGATCCCATCCCATTTACCGCCAGCACACTCTGCTGTAAAGATGTGAACCAAAGGAAAGGTCTGCATGTGTCATTGTCTTTGGTTTAGCTTAGGATTTCAGGAGTTGGTGGAAAGGTTTTTCAAGGAAAGGATTCCCAGTGGGAAGCACCTGCCCAGTTCTTGGTTCCTTGGAAGGGACCAGCCCATGGCAATGGGGCAGTGCTTCTGCTGCAGGAGGGAATTAGCTGGAGGGACGTGGAGGGACAGGGGTGGTGCTGGAGTTTGTCCCATGTGGGTGGCTGTGCCCCACCTGCAGCACCCAGCACCCACATGTGCACTGAGTGTCAAAGCAAGGGCTGAAAAGCCTCACATTGGTCACGTTTGGTACATAAAGTGTGTGTAACCACTGGAGCCAGTGCAGTGCCAGCCCCCTGTGTGCTGATGGCTGGCACTGGCAGGGAGGCAGGTCTGTCAGAAGAGTTTGATCAGCAATGGAGATTTTCTGTTCCCACCCCTTGCTGTGGATGACATTTTATCCAAGTAAATAAGTAACAGAAGTTGTTCCCAGGGAAGGCAGCACCACGCCAAGGCTTTGTGAGCTCCCAGCTTAAAGCACACAGGAATATTTTGGTAAAGACAACTGAAATTAGCTCAACTCCAAACTCTGCCAAATGCAGCCAAGTGGCCTGTTCTGGCTCAGTTTGCTTTTGCTGCTCTCTGGGCTGGATTCAGGTAACCCCTGCTGGGAGATCACCTGGCTGGGAGGTCCAAACCCCCTCTGCAGCTTCGGCAGGTTCCCAGCACGTTGGTGACAACCAACAGCTGGTGTTCCATGGGGAGAAGAGAGAGAAAAAGCAGAGGGAATGTTGCCACACAGAGCCTCTTCTTTCATTTTCTTTGTCATATTGTGTGTCTGAAGCCTCATCTCAGCTGCTGCTGCTGCTGACGTTCCGTCCCTCACACGAGCGTCACGAGGATTCACTGACAAACGCTGGAAACAGCATTTGGGAGATGAAATGCTTCCAGTGTTAAACACTACTATCTCTCCCACTTGATGGCCGTGTATAGATTTTTGTCTGCAGAACGGCTGCCAAACCATTACTCACTGCTGGCTCCTGCATCCTGCCAAGCCTCTCCTGGCAGATGTGCCTTCCGCAGGCAATCTTTTGCCCCGTGCCTTTTCCAAACACCAGCAATTCTTGCAGCACTTGCCTAGAAAGACCTTGAAATGCATCCCCTGCCTTCAAAAGTCTCTCCTTAACAGCCCCTTGTGCTTTGCAACTGCCGTGCTCCAAGTCCAGACCCTTGGAGACCCCGGGCTGTGTTTGATTCGCAGTCCCCACGCAGCGGGGATGTTGCAGCTGCATCAGAAATTGTACCAGGGCATGGGGGATAGAGTTTAAAAGCACACAGTTGAAACAGCTATGTATACACCCTCCTGCCCTTCAAAACTAATGTGGAAACTTGCAAAAAAAATAAGCTCTTTTGGGGATGCAGGAGGTTTTTCAGGACTCAGGTCGCTTGTCCAGCAGCAGCATCCGAGGGGTGTTAGCATTGAAAGCAGCATTAGCAACTCGTGATGAGCTTCAGGCAGCAGCCAAAGGAAAGAAGGAAGCGCTTTGTAACCAGTGAGAGGGCGTGGAGCCGCGAGACCACAAAAATGCAAACAGCTCCTTTATTTAAACAACCATTTCAATGAAACAGAGAGAGCCGTAGAAGGAAAGCCTCGGGGGGCTGAGCTGCAGAGCGCTGTGCTGCTCTGGGGGATGCAGCGGCCGGGCTGGCCGGGAGAACCAGCAATAACCACTCACTGGGAAAGCACACGCTGAAGCACAGCCCCGGACTGCCCAGGCCAGGGTTTAGCGTGCCTAAACCTAAACTCGTGTTTAGTGCCAGGACCCCACCTGCCAGCGCCCAGCGTCCCTGCTGCCCCTGCCCTCCCGCCGGCCCGTCCCACCTCCCGCCCACAAACACTTCCCACTGCATCTCTCAGGAGCTTTGTATCAGAATCAGCCTCTTACCCTCAGCCAGCTTTCCTGGGTGCCCGGCCAGCCTGTCCCTCCACGGGGGGCAGAGCACCCTCAGGAGGAGCCTGCTGTGCCTCCTTCATAGGTGCGATTTTGTTTTACAGGACACTAAAAGTATTAACGAGGGCAGTCTTTACTGTGATGTGCATTAAAGTGTGTCTGGTGGGTTTAATCCATCATGGCATGAGCCCAGTGTTTGCCTGCAAGGGAACAGACCTTGTCCTCAGGCCAGGAGTGCAACCTCCAGGAGGTCAGGGTAGGACACAGCAGATGTCCTTGTGCCAGAAGGTCCCCACGTGCCCACCTGCTGCCATGCAAAGCATGGGGCAGCCCCTCACTGTTGGGCTCAACAAGGCAGACATCACCCATGAGGGATTTTGCAGTCAAGGCTGGGAAAGGGACCAACCCTGCGCTGTTAGTCTGTGCAACACATCCGAGTATTTTGTGGCCAAAATGCCTCCTGGAGCCAGGGAGAGTTGCTGAGTTCCTGGGAGCAGGGCTGACTGACTGTAATTAGAGAAGCTTAGTGCTAATGTGCTTGAGTCTTTGTCGTGGGCCAGGTTTGTCTTAAGCCTTGCCACCAAAAACTCCACAACCGTTCCATTTGGGAGGCTAAAACACTCATCAGTGATCTGACACTGGAAGCATCGAGGTCAGTAGAGATGGTGCTACTGAGCATCACCCCGAAGCCCCCAGACCCATCACCCCCTTGCACCCCCAATGCACACACAAGAAAGCAGACGTGGTCCAAGTGGCACAAAATTGCAGACCATGGTCTTGCCTCTACCTCCCCAGGGGAAAGAGCAGGCAAACACACTCCTGAGGCCCCCCAGGACTCAAGGGTGTCATTTCTGAGCTCCAGCACTGACATGAGGTAATTGATGGTGACAGATATAGGGACATGACCTATATAAAGAGTTATGCTGAGAACATGGCCATGGAAAGGGACCTTTCACAGGACCACTCATGCCCCAGCCAGCAGCCTGGGAGATCTTTAATCATATGCAGAGACAAGCAAGTGAACACAAGTGCAGCCCTTAAACACCAACGCCTTACTGAGAGGAGGAGCAGGACCAAAGCCTCCAGCTGGCACCCTGTGGGCAGAGGGAGAAGGGAGGCAGCTGAAGAAACATCTCCATCTCCCAGAGAGGGCAGTTCTATTTTCCATGGACACCAGGTGCACTAGACACAGGGAGGAGAGACCTGGAGAAGAGGCAGAGGGCTGGGACACCCCAGGCCCTCTCCCACCCAGTGCCATGGAAATCAATGTTGAGACCAAATCCTGACTGTCCTGTAGTGCAGGCAAGCAGCTCCAGAGCTAAACCCCCTGCTCCAAGTGGGGAGAGGAGATCATAGCAGGTAAAACACCATTTTCAGCAGTGCCTGAGTCTCACCAGCTTTTCCAGTGCTGGAGCAACCCAGGGCAAGCAACTCGGGTTGTTCAAACACCAGCCATCGCCCTGCTAAAGTGCCCAGTCCCTAATTTGTGATCCTCAGCCCTATTCCCCCACCCCCCTTTTCCCCCTTCAGCTCAACAAGGGAACAGTGACCATCACTCTGCCTCTGGGCTCCCCACCACGTTTCTTCCCAAGGATCACCAGAGGCCATCACCATTTTCCTTTTGCTGGTTTCCCGCTGAATCATTTCTCCTGCATGTTTGATGGCCCAAACTGTATTAACTGTAATTTTGTATGAAGAGTGACTGTCCATTGGTTTAATAGAGCATTAGTTATTGTAATAATTTATTGGCTGTCGGTAATGTATTTATTAGTCACGAAATGTTAATAAAGTGCCAGCTCTTTTCTAGTGTGAGAGTGGTTTTATTGTGTCTCCCTTGAGCGCGTCCAGCGTCTCAAACTCATTTTTTAGCCCTATGGTTGCTCCACAAATGCACTTGCACAACACACACCTGCAGTGTCAGTTGTCTGCCACAGCCTCATCTGCCTGGAAACAGGGAATTTGAAAAGGATATAACCAAAAGGTATTTCATTTCATGTAAGTATTTGGT